AAACTGTTTGTTTGGCTTTTATATGTCGTGACCATTAAAGGTTTATTCAATGTTTAAGCTTTAAGAAAATATCAAGAAGCTTACTTTACTTATTTTGTTGCAGTGACAGCATTCTATTACAGTATCTATCAATGTTATCTATTTGATGTTTATAATTTTGTTACTTTCGGAAATTTATCTTTTCATGTTCGTAATTTGCTGTACTTATTCGATAAAGTGCTAAAAATATTAAACATTAACTCCGATCGATTATTTTAAATAAAATGAGTACTCAAAACCTTATGCTAACGATCCTAGTGATTTTACATTATTTTAGTCACAAAACTTCGATTATCATTTTATGCAATATTATTAGCCCTTACTAAAAACTAAAGAGAGCTCTTTTGAAGGCATTGGAGAATTGTGGAAACGATTTGCTCAGGAAATGTCTGCGATTCTTTGCATTTACAGATTTTGTTAACTTTATAATCGTTCGAGTTTTCGTTAACTATTTTGTTAAGTTGACCATCACAACTATATGGTTGAACAGATTTGTCAACATATGTCTAGGTATTGGATTTGGTTTGTAAAGTTTGTTGATTGCAGATTGACTTAAACCTTGTGTCTCAGTACTTTGACTCTATATGATTCGTAATGGTGATATCTTTTAAGTCAGGTTCATATCTTTAGTGATTAGCGTAACTTGATGTAAGTAGAGATACTTGGCAAATCAAGTGTTCTTACACTCATCCCTGTTATAATTGATACTATTCGTTTTGTATGAAATGCTGAATTTGGTTTCACTTGCTAACATGTTATTTTAGTGCATATAACAGGATAAATATTCCAGGGATTTCAAAATTCTTTTGATCAGTTATAAAACTTAGAATCACGTATTGTTGAAAGATCTGTTGCATCTAGTACTGAAGTTTCATATAGTGTCTTAATTAAACTTATTGAACAATAAATTACTATACTCATCTATTATAAAGTTTCGTTCTTTAAAGTAAATAAAATAATTAGTATTTACTTTCTTAATTTTAGCTAGATCAGTAAGATGACAACTTTATACGCTACTGTTTTTAAGTTCATAACTTGTGTTATTTCTTAAAAGACATTGGGAAATTTTTTCATCAAATACATATACATGCAAACCTGATGTTTTATTCAAACAAAAATGATATTCATATATATATAATATGAGTTTATGAATAAATTAGATTATTGTGAACAGGATGCTTCAATTTATTTTATTAATTAATTTCACTGACGCCAAATAAGAATTTCCGTCAAATGTTGTATTTTTTTATTGAATAGTTGCGTGTTTGTGCATATACGATATATAGATATAGCTTAGCAGTTTGTCTAAAAAGTTTTGCTTCGATATTAATGTTCTTTATATAAGTCTCAATACAGTTGTCTTACTATTTCGTTTCATTAACTTTTATTCATCAAACAGAGTGAAAACTATGGATTAAATATTAGAAATAATAATAATAATAATGGATTTTTAGGAGAGATTAAAATTCAGTATAATAGCTGTTGTTTTTAGTTAGATATCAAGATTAAATGAAGTATGTATTTAGTAAACTAGTTAATATATATAGCATACTTTATAAGCATTTTTATTTAATGAGATATTATTATGTCTCAAAATTCAATATTTTAATCTACGTTTAACCGAATATAAAAAATGTATATACTTTATTACTAGAGATTTTAAATCAATACTTCGAAAGAAAAAGAAAACGAACTGAATTAGTTTGTTATGTGTCTTTACAGAAAAACTTATTTGTTTGAATTGTAAATCGCATATTATATCTCTTTATGGGAATATTTTAGAAGAGGGTTCAAGGAAAACAACCGTAATGCTCAGTTGTAGGAAACAGTTTTGTCAAACACTTTATTAATTTAACGTTTGACATAGCTATACGATTGTGACTTGTTTACTAATAACTGATTTAGTGTTGTTTAGTCATTTTCAACAAGATTGAATATATTCTGTTACTGATATCAAGTGCCAATTCGAATGTATGTGATAAATAGTTTCATTTTTTGTCAAATCTATTGATATTCCTTATTGGTTACTGATTAATTATTGTAGGCAGCCCGGTCGAGGAGGTCAAGAAAAACCCAATATTAACGTCTCCAACTAAAATTTGGGATGTTGTGGTGCATCTAAAAATAATGTGATAGTACAGGGATGTTGGCTGACGAACATTAAAAGTACTTGGTAAATATAATTTAATTACCATTAGCACCTATACAATATAAGATTAATTATTTTTACTGTATAAATTGTAGGGGTATATTATTATTGTTAGGCAATAATAATTTTACACGTCTTTAAATATGTACTTTCGATCATTAATATTTCAGACAAATAAACGTTTATTACGTTTTGAATCGAACTACTACACCTAACAGTTGTTCACAGTACGAGAATTTAAGTTGTTCTAGAAAATGTCATGTCATTGATATACTTATAAATGTAATGCTTATGAGTATAATATCCATTAAAAATCAGTTAAAGTTTGACTAATCTTCCTAGTCATATTGCACGTTGTAATAGTAATCTCAAATTGCTACTGATGAAACAAATACGTAAAACAAATATATTAGTCTGATCATATTTGCTAGTTTATTTCTATGATTTCAATTAACAAGAGATTAAACATATTTAAAAAGAAACTGGATTAACATTGATTTTTACGTTTGTTTTCCACTTTAACCCATTCCATATAATTACAATTAACTAATAGATAATGATAATGCTTATCGAAGAGAAACTCCAAGAAATGGTAGTGCTTGTTATCATTTGAAAACTTATCTGCTTCGAAAATTAAAATAAAGTTCTAATTTTCTGGGAGAAATTTCAATGTAATATTACACTTGAAGGTTCAAAATTGATAGCTATGTTATTCTTTTAATTCTCATGGTTACTGTATACATAAATTAATCCATAGCTTTTTAAACTTTTATCAATAAGTCTATACTTAGAAAGAAGGAGTAAGCAAGTAACCCAGTTTTTTGGTTATAATTATTAGCTATAGTATTTGAATCTAACGATAATTGTAAATTGTACCCATTTAGTAAGTTATTAACTAATCAGTGGCGGTTGATACCTTCCTAATATATGTTATGTGCTTATTCTCGGACATACAGGATTTATTTACAAACAAACCAGAGTGCATCATACCATAGATGGAAAATAACAATTATACAAGTTCGTCACTAATAAACTGAAAATGTCTTAAGAATAGTAAATCGTATGACAATAGTCAATCAGTCAAGTAAGAGCTTATAATCAAAGGAATATGAATATACATGTAATGTAGTTACTTAATAGTAACAGTAAGAATATTCATTTAATATTAGTTCATAGGTAATTCCCAACGGTTACATTCATCTGTTCTCCGTACGGACCTAACAAAATTATTTTGAGTTAACCTACTAATCTAGACAGAAAACACTTGAGACATAGGTTATTTGTTGTTTTATTCTTCCATGTCATAAAAGTCCATAGTTCTAAGCCAAAAATAAAGGGATTACGTTGATTTTCGTGTGGAGCAATTGGGATGCAGTGTTTAAGTAACAAAATCAGGAAATAATTTTTCGACCAGACTATAACTTATGAATGAGCCATTCAGGTATGAGATAACAGATCTCGGCTAAATAGCGTTTTGACATTTTAGCTGGTGTCAATTCATGATGAAAAATGTAAATCTAATTCCTAACTCTAATCATCAACTGCGAATCATAATCCTAATTCTTCACACTGGTTTACAACCTACGTTTAGCCTTAGTTATAAGGTGGACATTCTCAAGGTCAGTTTAGCGTCGCTCAAAGGTTGTCCATAACTTATAGTCTCACCAACTTCCCTGTTCTTTTATCAATCCTTATGAAATAAGTTCATTAATTATGATGGAAGCTTGATCTGATTCTTTGACTCTGTTGAGTAATACCTCTTGTGGTGCAGATATAGCCAACTGTTTAAATAATAGTTTAACTGACTGTTATGTTACTCAGATAAAAGCAAATATATTTCATATTTTGCAGCTGGTGAATACTATAAAATTAAACATGGATACAATGAATTATCATTTCAAGTGTATTTAACTTGAAATCATTTGAAATTTCGTTTGAGAAAAACACAGATAGTAAGCAACTTATTTAACTACTAATCATACGTAGCAGTTTTTCCAGAGTTACCAACTTACAAGAATAGCAACTATATTCAACAGTTTCTTAATTTATTTTCATAAAATTTATGAACTTTATTTTAAAATTACTAGTTCGTAGATGGGTCTTACTTGATATTCTTACTGTACTATTATTCAACTGACATTGTATCTTCCTAAACATTTATTGATATGTATATGAATAGAGGGTGAAGATACATCTGTTCAGTTTGTTGTATGATTAAAATGATATACAACTATCTGCAACATACTTCTTGAACTTTTAATTCAACATATTGTTTTATCCATTAAGCATTTTAACTGCACTAATCTACTTTGACACTTTCATCATTAAATCAAAATGATAAGCTCTCCAAGTTATCTAATCTATTAAGTGAAATTGATGCATATCTTCTCAATCAATATTTATTCCTTACAACTAAGTACGGAAATGAAAATTGTTTACAACTGCTTATAAATTTTATTTGAAACAAAAAAAGAATACGTATAATATTCATGATATAAAGAGTTGCATGTAATGAACAAAAAATCATGTCTAACACTGATGCTTCGGAATTCCACGAATTCGATCGCTTAATTTTGAACTGATATATTTCTCCTTACAGTGAACATAAATGTTTTTTCTCAAAATTATTTGTTTTAGAATTAATAACATGTGTTATTTAGGTAAGTTATTCTACTTACCATAAAGGTGATCGTTCTTCTAACCTGTTATAAAACTATATGCCATTGTTTATAGTATATGTGATGTTTAATTACTCACAGTTAATTTGTTAATTAAATAAACATTTTAAATTTTTTTTAATTTCATTATATAGATGTGGAACACAACTTCGAATATGTCAAACAGAAACATATAAACAATTTAGGGTTATATTGTTATATTACGTAACATATATTGGATTTGGATTAGGGAATATACTTGAAGCTTCATCTGTGTGGATAACTGTGTTAATATCAGCGGAACGTTATATCATTATGAAATGGCCACATTTAGGCAAGTTATATTTTGCAAGATATCAAGGGAAATGGCAAGTGTTTATCACTGTATGTATAGCTGTGGTGTTTAATTTTCCATTATTTTTTACATTGAAAATCAATACTTCAGTTGTCCAAGGACCTAATAATACGAAGAGACATTTTCATTACAGTAAATTAACATGGTTTGGGCAATCACCATACTATCACACCTTTACATGGATACGGTTTATCTGTGTTCAATGTATTCCATTGATTACATTGTGTATCGTTAATTTTATGCTTCTACGTTTAACATGGTCTAGTTATCATAACCAGAAAGCACATCAATTAAGTCAACAAAGTTATATGAAACGTTCATCGCTTCCAATGACATCAGGGATTGATGAAAATAATGAGAGTTGTTGCCAAAGTATAAATGATATACCTTATAATTTACAGATAAAACCTCAAGCAATCTCCAATTTCACAACTCAAGTAACAATTTCAAAAGATATTGTTGACAACACTACAATATATAGAAATAACAGTCCAACTCCAACAAAGCGTATTTCTTTAAGAAACAGACGGTTGGAACGTTCACAGCAAGCAAATAACAAATTATCAATATTATTAATGACTGTGATATTTTTGTTTATTATCGGTCAGATTCCTCAAGCTTTAGCGTATGTGCATATTTTGGAATTGATTGTACCAAGATCTTGCATAAAATGTCGACCATATTCAGCTCTCTATAAACATTTTAGTCAGCTGTTATGTTTAATTACATCAACAACTAATTTCTTTTTATATGTTGGTTTGAATAGAAACTTTCGTGAATGTCTGACTGGATTATGTCATACAAGAAGCAAAGACAAAATTTTCAAACGTTGAATAAAATTTCACTGGAAAATAACATGAATCCAATTCATTGAATTTTCTTTGTATGTACATTTCATATTTTGTTCACTTATCTGAATATCTTTATGCCCTGTATTTTTTTGTAAAAATCTATTAGGTTTGTAAGGGCTAAAACTATTTTGTTTGGTGAAGATTTAAATATTGTACAAAAAGATTCGAATAATAATATTTTGTATCATAAATTTCAGATAAATACCGTTCTGAAAGATTTTTAATCTTAAATATGCCTCACTAGTTTTCTTCAGTAATGATCTTGGATTTCAAGTAAATCATGTTATATAACTGACTGGCTATTGTCTAATTACGTCAACCGATCGGATTAACAGCAATACTGATTTATGAGAACAATCGGATTAGTTGTCGTTTTTGATTTAAAGTTACAAAAGTTCAATAATAACTGAAGTTTACTCTGTATTTTTTAATGTTTTTACCAAATGTCATTCAAAAATTGCATTTGAATGTTTTTATAGTTCTGTATGTAACATTTTGTGCTTCATAGTCTATTTTTTTGAAAATATGAGAAACAAGATCAAAAATATAACATGTCAGTACCGACTTCATTGACAAGTTTAAACGTTGAATAGTTCCAACTATTTCGTAGATAATTTTATCAAACTTCATTTGATATTTTTAATCAAGTAATCAATGTGTTTGACTAGAATTCGATAAACAGTTATTTGTTAACCAAAACGTTTGATAAAAAATGAAAAAAAATCCACTGGGTTATTTTAATAGTCCAAAGCAATTTCTGACCATTGATCAATATCGGCCTAAAAATAGTTCGATTATTCAACTAACAAAGTGGTCACCAATGAAGTTAAAATGACAAATGAGGCAGAATAATATATAGATTTATTCTGTTCCATTGTTTTTTTTCAGCCGTTTACAATCGTATTCATATTAAAGGACAACACAATAAATTACAGAGTGGCAGACTTTGGTAGCGGAAAAGATTATAATAATAACAATTATTAGTACTAGGTATGCGTACATATTTGTGTGAATTAGCACAAAATTTGAATGAGGTAGTAATTACGCAGAGTTGGGAAGATGACAAAACGTGTTATGTAATCATTACAGAAGATTTAAATAGTGTGCATAAATTTAAAATAATTTTCAAGAACTACATCAAGGTCATAGAGTGATGAGGTTGTAGTTATAGAGAATTCGAAATAGAAATGACTGTAGTAGGTTTGAAAAGTTTACTTACGCTTTGAAAATCCGGAGAGCGAAAAACAATGATTGATCGAAAAATTAATTTTAGCGTAGATCAGGTAACAATTACCATGGTGAAGACTGCGTAACCAAATAAATGAAAAAAACAGTAATGAAAATAATTGTATATGATTTTAATGAAGAACGTATATTTACTAAAGCAATGTTAAGTTGCTAACTGCCTCTGTCTAGACATATAAATCTGGTTTACTTTTATCAAGTCCTACTGCCTTAGTAAGACGTAAAGAGGTTCTGCTTTGTTGTTTATTGATAATTTTTAGGGATCTCTAAACTTCAGTGATATGCACAATATCAGATAAATGCAGAACTAGAGCTGCTGCACTTTAGGGTTACAAAATCTTTGGATCGCGCTTGAAAATATGAAGATGTATTATTCTCTCAATTTTTTTTCAATTAAGTGTTTTTGGATGTAAGTGTGAAGTGATAAAGTTAGTTGGAAGTAGTTAGTAATGATCTGTAGATTTTTGTTTTAAGAAGCAGTTTGTTTCACACAAGGTGATAAAGTTTGTTACTGGATACCTAATTTTTATGCCAACATTTATTCCATAATTAATTATTCAAGATGATTTCTTCCGAAACAAACATGAATAAAACAGGTTTGCTTTTCGGCTGTATCATAATTAACCCGTTTGTTAGTCTTATCAAACTTTTCGGTAACATTTCGTGGATATTCATCTTTGTGTAGGTAATTTTTAATGACTGTTAAGTGTTTTGTTAGATTTTTCCTGGTACACATATTCGAAACGTATTGGATTAATATATCTTTGTCTCCTTATGCGATTATCTAAAAGTATGAAATTGATTGAATTGTAATAGTCATTCTATTAATTATCGAAAAACATATTAATTAGTCTAAATTGTAAATTTATTGTTACGATCATAGTTTAACGTATTTTGTTTGGTAATAAATTGGATAAACGCTTTGTCTAAGTAGGCCCATAGATAATATGCGATTGAACTTTTATTATTCAAATTAGTTCAGTTTCACACATAAAGAAAAAAAATAATTAATTGAATAAAAGGTTAATTATCGTTTACTAGTTATGATGTAATCTGTAGAGTTTATGTTGAATTGTTCGACAATAATGAAAGTATCTTGTTTAACAATGTAGTTTAAATGTTTAGAATATCGAACTAAGAAACCAGTATTGTAGTGAACGAGAATACCAGTAAGGACAATCAAATACATTTGAATACAAAATTACAGAATCTCTTAGTAAAATCCTAAAACCATACGGTAAATACTTCATTTTAAAAATTTCAGTCAATTGTCTCAAACTTCACTGTTCTTATTCTCTTCCCTTTGATCATCTTAACCTTTTGCTGCCAGGTATTTCACCTGTGATTCATGATATATACTACTTATATCTGTCGACACCAGTAACATACACCACAGTAGAAGTAATAGTGGATAAAGTATTTTACTAAATGTTTACTGAAAGTCTTAGTAGTTAGATGATTTAAAAATTAAGGAATTTTTGTAACTATATAAAGAAAATGTGTTGGCAATCAGCTTTGTCACAAATTTTGCATTCCTAAAAAAGTACGTACACTACGAAAGTCAGTTTAATCTTTTATTAAATAAAAATAAAACAAATTCAGGGTAAACAAATTTTTCCTTTCTATGTCTAGTTCATATCTAACCAACAATAAAATGACTGTGTTTGGACTATATTGTAACTATTCCGGTGATATCACTGTAAATTGTGTTTTTTAAAAACCAAGGCAAATTTTAAAAACAACGTTTATCTAAACAACGAAATGTAACCACGTGATATATATCAATATTCTTGCAAAGTATTAAGCTCTCAGCATATCATACCTAACCAACAGCTGTTCTATTGTGGGACAAAAATACCACATTAACATGTAACTTAAGTAAATTAAGATTTGACTAAATTCTTAATATCCTGTTTAACTATTTTCAAAACAAAACAGACAATTTTTAGGTATTTCAGGTTCATATTTGGGATCATAAGTTGTTTATTACATGGTGCGATTTGGATCAGTCTTTTTCACCAACAAGTAAACATAAAAACTGAAATCATTATTTTATAAAATTTTAGTTATTTTTATTAGCATTTTGATTAAGTAGTAGTTGAACAGTATCAAAACACATTCCAGGATGCGTTGTTTAGTGTTACGTATGTTGGTATTTTGATAGTTTTGAATTATTTCTTAGGGGAATAATGGTTTTCTTATATTGAGGTGATCTAGAAGCTCACGTTCAATTTAAAGTTTCATGTAGGCACTATACACGTCAAACTGTAATATGGGTATTTTATGTGGAGCCCGATCAGCACAGAAAACCAGAGTGAATATGAATATTTTAATCGTTGAATTCAAGAGTCGATCTAAGCTAGACCACCATTGAAACGTATAAGCACTGGACGGCCGTTTTGTTCTAGTATGGGACTCCTCAGCAGTGTCCACCCACGAACCTTACACAGGGTTCAAACCCAAGATCTTCGGCTTCATGCCTGAACGCTTAACCTGTACGCAGATGGCTACTTGATTTCGATATTTAGTAAAACGTTATAAAGTAATAATGTAGTGTATCGCTTCTTAAGAAGTCATATAGAGCATATAGTAATGTTAATTACATTTTTCTTACGTACTCTCATTACACTTGATACAACTGAAGAAGTTAATAATCAAAATAAATTAATGTAGATCTGCTTCGGTGTTAACGAAAACCAGAAGTCAATGCGCTGAAATGTTTGGCTCCCAAAGTTTATAGCAGTTAACAAATTATATTTGTTCTATTAATAAAAATAAAAGCCTGGTGTCTTCTGCTGATCCAAATGTCCTCATAAAATAGTGATCAATCCTGAATCAAGATAGAAATTATAAATTCTGACAGATCATTCATTTGATATATATATATAATATTATTGGTAATTTTAATCGCAATCATAGTTCTTTAGATATTAAGCTCTTATGATGTTAGTGAATTTGGTCTTTGAAAAATGCTGTAAATTGTCCTGGACTATAAAACACCGGTACTGATAGTCTTGTTTATTTTTAACAGCATAGTATTCGAAAAGCTTGAGGATTTCAGTTATATTTTGATACATTTATATGTCTGTTTGTAATCTATTAGTAAGCTTATGTAAATTTAGTTAGTTTGGCATTTAGTAATTCGATAATGTGAAAGCTGCCACCATAGCTAAATGACATTCTCAGTTTACATAAATCCTTTCATTCAATAACGTTTATGTTTTTTATCGTAGTAGTAAGGTAACTACTTCTGGAATGATTTTTAACAGAGTTGGTTTAGAATGTATTGCTAATCATGATTAGAGAATAAGAAAGTTTAATCCTTTTACAAAACCGCTTTCCCGATACATTAAGCAGTGCGAGGATCATTTATTTAAAAAAAATGATAGCTCAAGGAAACACGATTATTCATCTTCAAACCCATTGCATATTTATCATTTTTGTTATCGAATAATTGCTGAAGATAAATTATCTGGACTTAACTATTTAGATTAGCATTAATATCTAGTACTGGGAACCTTATTAATTAAAAAACGTTTTATCAGCCTGCAAGTTGGATACAAATTTGTTTTTCTTCTTATGTACATAAACCTTATTTATTATTCTGCACTCAATAATTCATTCATCTAACCAACTCAGTAGAACTCAAAGTGTTTATAATAATATAAATCAATTGGTATCATACTTGTAGCCATAGTATCCAGGTCAATTGGATTATAGAAAAAGTACTATTTATTTGTGACAAATTTAGTAACATTTGTTTTAATTGAGGTACA